AGAGATTAAGGGAGATTGAGAGATTTGTGAGATTGAGAGATTTAGGGAGATTGAGAGATCTGGGGAGCTTGAGAGATCTAGGGATATTGAGAGATCTAGGGAGATTGAGAGATCTAGGGAGATTGAGAGATCTAGGGAGATTGAGAGATCTAGGGAGATTGAGAGATCTAGGGAGATTGAGAGATCTAGGGAGATTGAGAGATCTAGGGAGATTGAGAGATCTAGGGAGATTGAGCGATTGAGGGATTAAGGGAGATTGAAGGATTAAGGGAGATTGAGGAATTAAGGGAGATTGAGGGATTAAGGGAGATTGAGGGATTGAGGGAGATTGAGGGATTACGGGAGATTGAGGAATTAAGGGAGAGTGAGGGATTGAGGGAGATTGAGGGATTACGGCTCCTCAGGAGGAACGGAGAAGAGAGGGAGCCGCCACGGAGTGCACCATGGGTATCTATCTAACCGATGATATCAGTGACACTCCCCCTGAACCTGTGTTAACATGAATCATGAAGTATACATCGGGTCAAACAGCCTCTTTACACCTTTACCGTACAGCACTCTAGTGAAGATCGACACAGACGAACTGACCGTGCAACGGTCCGGAGGAGAGTCTTCGTGATGGCGCGAAATTACAAATGCTGGTAACATGATATACATAAGTCTATCCGGCACAGAGCAATCGAGCAACCGCGCGAATTTACAGGGCAGGGACATTCGCGGTTCTTCTTTCGCTGTGAACGGTGATGCCTCGTTATTGTTGTCGCGAAAACAGTCCTCGAGCTATCTGGTGGTGTTGGGCACGGTGTTTCGTCCCGGAAATATCGAACTTAGACGAGGCGGAGCAGGACCGCTTTAGTTACGTGGTGTGGGGGGCCCTGAGGCCCGAAGACCGGAGGTGGGCGCAGGAGGCGTCCCGAAACATTCGGTACGAGAGTGATCCCGCCGCAGCGTTGAGAACGCTCGTGGGTGTACTTGAAGCGTTGGGCCGATCGTCGGCGAGCGGAAACACCACCCCTGGGTGGACCAGCTACCCCCGATAGGTGAGAGAAAATTGCGATATTTTTAACGTAGGGAGAGAGTTAACTAGAACTGTCGAACCTCGAGAGGGTACAATAATTGTATGGGACGTCTGAAGACTTGGCCTGATGCTGTTTTGACTAAACAAGACCTCCGACGACCGTCGGTACCCTGCCCGCCGAAAACCTCCTGGACTACGCAGAGCGGCCAGAAAGCACGGGAGGCGTCGGCTGAGTGCAGCAGACATACGTCGCCCGGCTGAATAGGCCGGCTGTCCTCATTTTTCCGGTAGTGCGCGGACCTGAGATACTGGAGGTAGTCATTGTGGAATTGTTTCCAGAAGCCGCGCAGAGCTGCCTGCTGATTTTTCCAGCGCTCTGAAAACACTATCGCGTTCGCCGACCGCACTGTGTCTGCTACCCGTTTCATGTCCGGTAGAGCCGGCTGAGAGGCATACCCGTACAACAGGTCCGACGGCGACAGCGCTCGCGGCTCGCTAGGGTCGACTACGACCGCCGAAATCGGTCGATCATTGACCATTTTTTCAATTTCCATCAGTACGGTTTCCAGTTCTCTGAATGGTAAGCAGCGCGATCCCAGAATTTTGCGCAGGGGTCTTTTGACCACCTGAACGAGTCGTTCCCAAAAGGCTCCGGTCCAGGGGGCCTTTTCCGTGGAGTGGGTCCACACCAACTTTTTCCTGGACAAGAGATCCTGGGTGGCCGGGTGCTTTCGATGCTCGAAAATTGCATCAAGCTCCTTTTCGGCCCGGAGGAAGGTGCGCGCGTTATCCGACACGAGCCGGGAGACCGATGGGTTGCGGCTTATGAAGCGACGTAGCGCTAAGACAAATTCGTACGAGCTGAGGTCCGCCACCAGTTCCAATCTTAGAGCCCGAGTCACCGCGCAGGTGAACAGGAGGCTATACGCCTTTACTTTCGAGCCATCTATTGTCTTTATGTAGAGAGGACCCGCATGGTCCACCCCTGTTACGAAAAAGGGAGGACATTGATCCACGCGAAAATGTGGGAGGGGGGGCATCGGTTCCTGTGCCGCCTCCGCTTTGAACCGGACGCAGACTTTACAGCCATGAGTGGCCTTGTTAGCAATCCGCCTAGCCCCGGTTACGAAGAATCTAGATCGAAGGTGGTGTAATACAGCTGCGGCGCCGCCCGAATGTAGGCAAGGACCTTCGTGAATGTGCCTGACCAGTAGTTGTACTAGGAAGTCATTTCCTGGCAAGAGGATCGGGAACTTGACTTGCTAGTCGATGTGCGTCGCTTTCTCCAAACGAGTGCGACATTTTAAGAAGCCGTCTTCGTCGACGAACGGTGCGAGTTTGGAGAGCTCGTTCGATTTCGCTGCTGACCTTCCACCCGATTCCAATTCTGCCCGGAAATGACTTAATTGGATGTGTCTCAGAAGAGACGACTCCGCTTCCGCGAATTCCTGTGAGGAGATCGTGAGATCTTCCTGTTTCCGTTTGTCCCGCACGCGAGACTGCCACCTTTTGATGTGAGCCGCCACCCGAACTGTCCTCCCCCACGAAGAGAATTGTTTACGAAACAGATCCGAGACCGGATCCACTGTAACAGCCGCCGCAGCACAGATCTCTGCTCTCTTCTCTCTGAGCATGTCCGGGGTCTCGCGGTCGTTACTCGCATTGAGCGAATGTGTCGGCGCACTCGACTGAATGGAAAGCCATGACGGCCCGGTGAGCCAGAAACGGCGCAGCTCCGGGGTGTCCAGTGGAGATCCCCTGCTCAATAAATCTGCCGGATTGTCTTCCGACCGCACATAGCTGAACGAGCTCGAGTGGGCGATAGATCGAATTTCACGAATTCGGTTGGCCACGAACGGTTTCCAGCGTTCCGGCGAATATCTCAACCAACCCAACACCGAGGAATTGTCGGAATAAAGATACACTTTAGAGACACCCTCGACGATGTTTTCCGAAATGCGCCGCGCCAGTCTCGCTGCAATGAGTGCAGCCATGAGTTCTAGGCGATGAATCGTTCACCTGCCTTTCAAAGGGCATACTCTGGTATTCGCCATAAGGAACGACACCACGGCTGGCGATGAATCTGTGGGAATCACCTTGAGATAGGCGACCGCTCCGTACGCTTTAAGCGACGAGTCCGCGAAGACATGCAGTTCCCTTGACGCTCGCGACGGCTCGTAGCCGAACATGGGGCGGGAGATCTGAATTAGCGGCGCCACGCTGAGTTTCTCCACAGCAGAGAGATAGTCCGTCAGGACTTCTCCCTCCAGTTTCGTATCCCAATCGAATTTCTTGGACCACAAAACCTGCGTGAGCGTTTTGAAATTTATGGAGACGCAAGCCAGAAGGCCTAGGCCCTAGGGGATCGTAAATCTGGCTCAAACCCCTGAGAAGGTTTCTCTTCGTATGTGGGCCCTTGCTCAGAAACCCTCGACCTCAGAAGTGTCGATGAACAGGGTGTCTGAGACCTGATTCCAGGAGACCCCCAGAAATTTGGAATTGGTCTCCTGACACAGAATCTCCGGGTTATCGTCTTTGGTCGCCCGTCTTATGAGCTCCGCTATCTCCGGAGCGTTAGTTTTCCACTTTCCGAGGGGAAAACCACCCTCCTTAAAGACCTGTATGAGAGTCTCCACCGTCTGCTTGGCCTCGTCAATCGAGTAGCTACCGCAGGCGAAATCATCGACGTAGAAAGTCGATTTAAGCTCGTTTAGGAGCTCCGCCAGATCTGGGCGCTTTGCTCGCTGAAGATCGAGGTGATGCCTTACGCCGGCGCAGTGCAGCCAAGGACTGCACACCAAGCCGAAATCCAGGACTGTTGCCCAGAATTCCTGTACCGGGGTGCCGTCGTTTCGGGACACGCCGAGCGGCCAATAGAACCTTAAGAAGGTACGGTGTTTCTCATTGATCAGAAATTGGTTAAATGCAGCTTTTATATCCGCGACGATCGCTATAGGCTTTCGTCGGAATTGGAGGAATACGGCCAACAAATCAGGCAAATAATTCGGGCCTTTTTCCAACACGTCATTGAGAGACGCCGCGTCCGCAGACCGCGCGCCTCCATCCTTAACCAAACGAATCTTTTGTTCCTGCGAGCCGAGGTTTTTTTTTGCTATCGCAAGAATCGGTAGGTAGTAAGCCATTTCTCCGGGTTTTCTCGGAGCTGCTGGTTCGACGTAGCCTGAATTGACCAGTTTAGAGATCTCGTCATCTACTGCTTTGAGGACTTTCGGATTCTTTTTTAAAGACTTGAGGAGGCCCATGAGACGGGAATACGCTAGTTTCTGATTATCCCCCAGGGTGTGAATGTTTTCTCTAAAAAGGGAGAGAAACTATGAATCTGCCCTCGGGGGTGGTCTTTATCGACTCCTTGAAAAAGGTTTCCATGGCCTCCAAAGAATTTTTGTCCTCGTCGGGAGTAGAGTGCTCCACGCCGAGGAACTCTGTATCCCAAAGAAAATCGAAGTTGTCTCGTTTGGTCTTGGACGAAAGCGGCGATGCCGTGGTATCGACGTAGCCGTCGCTGGGGAGAACGCAGGCTAGCGACGTGGTAACCGAGCTGCCAACTGCGTTTGCCCGATCGCTACCCCACAACACCCAGCCGAAAATGGTAGGTGATGCGGTGAGGTGCCCTACTCTCCGATACATTCCGTCATAAATCGAGGGGAGAGCGTCAGCCCCAATTAGGACCTCGATGATTTCAGGAAACCCGGGTTGCTCAACATCCGCCCATTGAAGGTCCAACTGTGGGAACTCAGCTCTGGGAAGGATGCCCTTAATTACTGTAGGTACAGCCAGGCAGCCGATGGTCGTGCTACGACCTGAGAAGCGACTCCTGACCGTGAGCCGCACGGTGTTCAGGTCTAACTCTTGAGAGACCCCGCCTGCGACTCCATGTACCCGCAACGAGACGTTACCGCCCGGTTTCGCGCCGAGTCGTTTGACTACTTGATTGGAAACGAAAGATCGTTGAGAGCCCGGGTCTAAGATCGCCCGACAGATTGTCTTTTGCCGTTGTTTTCGACCCAAATGTGGGCCGTTTGCAAGAGAGACTCCGGATCCTGAGAGGACACCGGTTGGCAACTACACGAAACGCTATTTGAGGCTGAAGTCGGGGGAATCTTAGACGACGCCGGAGAAGACACGCAAACTAGAGTATGGTGCCTGCCCTTGCATCTCGCGCAATTGCCCACATGTGCTCTACATTTCTTGCTATTATGGTTTTTCCTGAGGCATCTCAGACACGTATTTTGCTCATCTAGCATTCTACGCCTTTCCTCTGCCGACATAGCTTTCGGACACCTGGAGCTGGAGTGATTACTAGCGCAGAATATGCAGACAGGCTCCGGGAAGTGCCCGGCGAACGAAAACTGATTTTTCTGACTGTAGGGATTGCGATGGTTCGAGTGAGACTCGTTTCTGCCAAAATGAGATTTGCCGTTGCCTTTCGGCTGACCGTGAGACGGTTTATCTGACTCCGAGAAGCGGAGAAGTTCCTTGCTTTTATCTAGCGCCGCTGCTTGATCTTCCAAGAGTTTCATCAGGACCTCCAGCTCCACCGCGTCCGCTGCACATTTGGTCGGGAATACCAAGTGAAACTTGTGGCGGTATCTCTCCGGAAGAGCCTTGAGAATCAAGGGGGAAAGTACCATTGATAGACTGACATACGCGCTGCCTAGCGACACTAACGCGTGGATGTTCTGAGCTAGCCCTGAAACAAACTCTACAAACTTATCGTTTCTGTCGAGGTTCCGTGCTGCGCATAGGCTGTAGATCTGATGCATGTGGGCGTTCGAGGCCTGGCGTGAGTCACCGAAGTTGCTCTGAATCGGTATCCCAAGAGAGACTCACCTGCGGCATAATGTTGGGAAGAGAATGAATTTCATGGCGGAGCACGTAAGATCAAATATCGATCCCCAAAACAGAGATAACCTACTTCCGAAGAATCTTCTGCGAGAGCGAATCGAGTGTAGTCCGGCGCTGCGTTCACGAGCTCCGACAAGACGCTCGCTATTTCTTCCGTGGATCTTTCTCGTTGTCCAATCTCCCGTTCGAGGTCAAATTTGTAACCTGGATGCTCCAGAAGGGCAAATGCGGTTGAGAGAACTGTTCTTCGTTTCGCGATTTCGAACTTCACACCCTCGTGAAGCATCATTCCCAGTTCACAGGTTTTCCCTCGCAGATCTTGCAATAGGAGGCGGAAAACCTTATCCGCATGGCCAAGAGTTGCCTCTTTCTTGCAGAGGAGGAGAATGGTCGGCTTGAATGGCGCGAGATTCATTGAATCGATGAACCCGGAGGAAGCCGCCGCCTGGGAATCCTTCGTCTCAGTCGCCACGAATTTCTTGGGGAACACGGGAGCTTCCAACTACGTGGAGTTGATGCAGAGACTTCTGGAAAGCTTCCGCGTTCTCGGATAAAGAATGAGTATCAAGGTTCATCATCTCCACGCCCACCTTGATCTATTTCCTGAGAATTTAGGGTCGATGAGCGACGAGCAAGGCGAAAGCTTCCATCAGAACATCAGCACCATGGAGGAGCGATATCAAGGGAGTTGGGATGAGTCTATGATGGCAGACTATTGCTGGAACATCATGGGGGGAGCCTCTGGTCGACCACATTCTCGACAATCGCTGACGGCTCGTTTTGATGCGGATTGATCTACCCCAAGTGAAATCGGACGTTTTCGGTTTTTCGAGTATATCTTGAATAAAAACTGAATGGATCAACCGATCATGCTCTGTTTGGTCTTAAAATGTTCGTAAAAGCCTCCTCTATCAAAGTGTCGAGGGTAGACGGCTTCGAAGGTCCTAGTTTTTTCGTCAAGTGCTTTCCAAGAGGTCCCTCTCCCACTTTTTTTCTTCTTTTTTTGAGTTTCCGATACCTCTACCTGAGAGACCATTGCTACGAATCGCACCAAAACTCGACCAGGCATAGCCCTAACCGAGCTCTATCCGAAGTTTGATCGATCTAGTCCACTCCGGGGCAGAGTTAGAGAATTTCATAGACGGAAAATAGCAAAAAATCGAAGGATTGAAAT